CCAGCCACGCTGCGAGGACGCTCCCAGGGGCTGCAGACGCGGAGGCAGGAATGCACTGAGCACCCCTCTTCAGGAATGGAGGTGCAGTGGGGCCGGACACGCAGCCAGTGTCCTGCACCATGAGCCAAGCACTTCAGTTGGCGCAGGAAAGTGGCTGCATGACGCGGGCGATGCTGCTGGCCACTGCTGTCCGGTGGGAGCAGGCCACGCTGGGGGACCTGCAGCACCTGCACACCTTCGCGGCAGTGCAGGCACGGCCCTGGCAGGTGAGTGCAGCTGGCCGGCGCAGGGAGCCCAGCCTCGCCCTCCTGGGGGTGGGGCGTCTGAGCCGACACCCGCCAAGGCACAGGGTGGGCCTGGCGGTTTGCCCCCACCCCCTCCCGAGCGCCCCGGCAGTGCCGGCCCAGCCAGTGCGCTGCCTCGAGGGCTGACGCCTGCTGCCTGCGCCAGCCAGAACTCAGCACCCCACCTGCTTCCTGGGAGGGTCCTGGCCGCGCAGGGAGGGGGCAGCGCTGGGCGGGCAGCGCCCGGCCTCCGCCACAGACCTCGTCCGACACCCAGCTCTGCCACGGCGGGTCTGGCCCGAGGTGGCACGAGCAGCACCTGGCCTGCGGCCCGGGGGGGCGAGCTCTGCCTCCTGAGAGGGACCCGAGCGGGCGGGAGGCCGGCGGCGGCCGGCACTACGTCGTCTTCCGGAAGCCTTTCAGAATAGGGTAGATGTTCTCGAATGCTTCGTAGATCTCTGCTCGGACTTTCGCGCCTGTGAGGACCAGCGAGAGGAGGGTGAGGGGCCAGACGGCTCTGCACACCCAGGAGGCCAGGGCCCCGCATGGCACAGCTCTCCGCACCCGGGGCTGCAAGTGCAGTGACCTCCCCAGCGCCCTCTGCTTTCACGCAGAACGGTGACCGGGACAAGAGCAATGTCCCTCGGCTGGCCCAAGGGGAGGCCGTGAGAAGGACCCTGCCCCCCTCCTGACCGCAGCCTTCGTCGTCCAGAAACCGGCACTCGCCCCAGCGCCACGCCCCGCCGCGGCCGCACCATGCCCGAGTCCAGCACAGGACGCAGCTCCCCACTGGGCTCACCTGTTAACACAACTTTTCCAGAAACAAAAATAAGGAGAACAATTCTGGGCTTGATCATTCTGTAGATTAAACCAGGAAATAACTCAGGTTCATAACTAGGAGGAAAAGAAAAAAGGGTTGAGCAGCTTGGAGCTTTACATGCCCCTGCACACCCCGCGAGGCCGGCAGGAGACCCGGGCGCCAGCCGGCCAGTGCGTGAGCCGCTGCCGCCGCTCCCACCGACCCGCTTTTCCGGCACAAGGCCGAGCTGCTTCCTGAGGCGCTTTCTGTAGTATGCCTCGGTCAAGTTTCGTCTGGGACAAGTTTAGGTGCTTCAACTTCAGGTCATTCCCAGCTCATTTCCTTAAGCTGGTCCGGCAACGTTACCAGAGATGGAAGAGACACTCGCTGGAGAACGGGCCACGACCGAGTCCACTGAGCCTGGCGGCCGCCTCTGTCAGTTCTGAGACTAAAGCAGGGCGTGTGTGCTGAGCCAGCGGGAGGTCAGGCCGGCCTCGCACAGGCCTGGGCGGGCATCGAGGCGGGACACGGAAGGCGAGTCCCAGGGCCCTGAGCGGGGCGAGGCCTCCTGGGGCTCCAGCAGCAGCAGCCCAGAGAGGGGTGGGGGCACCTGGGCCTCCAGGGACAGCCAGATTCTCACAGCGGGGGGCCCTGGGCGGTGCCCGTGACACGGGGAGCAGGAGGCAGGTGAGGCACAAACACGCTGGCCAGCCCGTCGCTTGCTCCTACTTAGGAACCTTCTGTGCTCACGCGGGCCGTGTCCAGACTCACCTGCTGAACTGCTGGTGGGTGAGCACCAGGCCTTCCAGCCGGATCGGGAACTTCACGTCACAGCTCCCCACCATGTTCTGGATCTTGAAGTCCAAGAACTTGGCCGGGAAGCCCAACTTCTGTACAACTCTGGCATATTTCCTTGCTGCTAGTCTAGACTGTTCCTCACTATGGAGAGAAAAGGTGAGATAGTGATGTACAAAGCCAGCTGAACAATTATTTCAATGGAGAGCCTGTAGAAAGCCCAAGTTGGGAATGTTCTTTTATGTATTTATTTTAAAGAATAAGTTCATCAGAAAGAGAGGAAAGACACTTGCATAGGCACAAGCGGGCAGGAAGAGGCCCCGGAGGGACAGGCTGGCAGAGAGGCCTGCGTGGCTGCAGGCGGGCGGCTCCCCGAGGGCGGCTCCCCCGAGGGCGGCTCCCCGAGGGCGGCCGGTGCAGAGCAGTCAGGTCACGCAGACGGAGGCGAGGGGGAGGGCGCGGGCGGGAAGAAGCGCCTGCACAGGCACGGGCAGAGGGGCAGCTGCCGTTTTTTTTTTTTTTACTACGTGTTTATTTTTAGAAGAACCGGGGTGCAGTCAGAAGTGGGGGGGAGGGGTGAAAGGATCTGCCACAAAAAGAGTGAGGAGCAGAGAAGGCAGAATGATGAAGATCAGTGCTGCGGGAGCAGCGGGGAGACCAGAGGGCTCCTGCTGCGCCTTGTGGGCCACTCCCTGGCCAGGATCGAACTCAGGCTCCAGTGGTCAGTGCTGAACCTTAACCCGGGCCACCGGGAGGCCTCCCAGGCATGTTCCTGAAAAAGTGAACCCGAGATGGCGCCAGAGCAAACGCACCGAGACCACAGCGTCCAGGCCTGCGCAGGAACTGGGGCCGAAAGCGGACCACAGACGTACCTGCTGCGAGCTTCACCCCCGAGAACACCCTGGACTCGCTAGGAGGAAGGTAACTGGGGAGAATCGGGGATCGGGAGTTCCCATAAGGGAACGCCTGGCCCAGCCGCAAGCGCCACAGACGGGGAAGCGGAACCCCGCGAATCCGATCGGGGGACCCAGGCTCCAGGGCCGCAGACGGAGGCCTCCTGCCCACTCGGCTCGGTGAGCGGAACCCAAGCTGTGGGGAGACTGCGCAAGGGGGCACAGAGCCCGGGAGGTGGGGAGGGAACCTGGTGAGGTGCTGACTGGGGCGGCCGCAAGGCCTGCGCCCTTCACCCCTCGCAAGGCCTGCGCCCTTCACCCCTCGCAAGGCCTGCGCCCTTC